ATTGTGCATTTTGACATGATGATTAAGGATTACAATGTGGAACCAAGATTGGAGCATTATGGTTGTCTTGTTGACCTTTTTGCTCGTGCTGGGAGAATCGATGATGCTCTAAGCTTGGTTTCAGAAATGCCAATTAAACCAGATGCTGTGATCTGGAGGAGTCTTTTGGATGCTTGTTGCAGGCAACATGCAAGTGTTGAGCTAAGTGAAGAAATGGCAAAGCAAGTGTTTGAGTCAGAGGGGAGTGTCTGTAGTGGTGTGTATGTGCTTTTGTCAAAAGTGTATGCTTCAGCTTGTAGGTGGAATGATGTAGGGTTGCTTAGAAAACTAATGAGTGATAAGGGTGTGACTAAAGAACCTGGGTGCAGTTTAATAGAGATAGATGGAGTGGTTCATGAATTTTTTGCTGGGGACACCACACATCCACAAAGTGAAAATATATACAAGTTTGTGAGTGAAATTGAGGGGAAGATGGAATCAATAGGGTATTTACCTGACTACTCAGGGGCACCTATGGTTGATGAGGTTAATGATGGAAAACAGAATGCTCTTAGGTTGCATAGTGAGAGATTGGCCATAGCTTTTGGGATCTTAAACTCAAGACCTGGCACGCCTATAAGAGTGTTCAAGAATCTTAGGGTGTGTAATGATTGCCATAGGGTTACTAAATTAATCTCCAGAATTTACAATGTGGAGATAATTGTAAGAGATCGTGCTCGGTTCCATCACTTTAAAGATGGAGCATGTTCTTGTATGGATTATTGGTGATAGGTGGTCGTTTTAGAGGTAATATTGGTGTAAATTATAGTTGAAAATCTCATTTGAACTGTATACAAGTGACATTCTAGAACTAGAAATTACAAAAGGAAATTTAATAAAGAGATACAAAATAGCGTAGTTCTATAGTGCACATGAGAGTTCACAAGTTTTCAGAAATCTAATAATTTATGTTCCTCTCTTTTTTTCTAACTATAAAATTTTGATTGTATCTTAACAGGAATGAAACAAAATCCTCTGCCAACCACATGGAACCATCACATAAATTCAATGGATGAACAGAACTTGAATTGATTTTATATTGATTTTACAGAGTACTAAATTTTAAATTACATTATGTCAACGTAAGAGATCTTCATGGCTTGTAATTCTCGTGACCCTTTCGCATTCTATACATTTATCCTATGAGTTGGATCAGCTTTCCAACTCAGCCAACGATGATCACGGAGATATTGGTTGCGCCGATCTACCATTTCATGATTATAAAATTTAATTATTGTGTTATCGATGTTTTTTTTAATAATCCTTTGAGCTTATTTTTCTACGCTACACCAATAAATAGTTGAAACATATGATCACGGCAATTACGCATTAATTAATAATGATCGAACCTTAACTACACAAGAAATACTCCATACTTTGCACCTAAACATCTTATGATAAAAACTAAATTAATTTAAATGCATTTTCTAAAATTTAATTAAATAAATATGTTAACCTTTTGAAATAGCCACTCAATATACAGCACAATAATAACCAAGCTAGTCAAAGTACAAAATAATTATAAAAAAAACACTCAATGTGATCGATCACTTGATAAAAAAACTAAATACATTATATGTCAACACTTAATTATTTAAATACTTGTATATAAATATAATCATTTATATGGCCCATAATTTTTTTTTTCTTTTGTTTCCGGCAGAGCACAATGTTCAGTTAAAAATTAAAAATAAAAAATAAAAAAAAGATATAATGCTCGTTGGATCATATCCACCAGGTCAAGGTGCAAACTGGAAAGGTCACCAAAGGTTTTTTCCTCGTTTCAATATGAATTTCATTCCAAACTGCAAAAAAAATAAAAATAAAAATAAAAATTGAAGCAAAAAATATATATCATAAAAAAATGTTTCTAATTCCTTAAATTTATACGACTAAAAATAAAATTTCCTCTGT